AATAAAAATGTGAATCAGTTAAAACTCTACACGTTGACACAAAAGTCTTTTAAACTATCTCTAGAATTCCTTAAATAAGAGACCGTGTTAAGTGTGTCTCTTCCTTTCTCTATTTTTTTTCAATTTTTTTAATTTTCACATATCCTCTAACATATTCCGATGGAGGTGGTCTAATAAATTTAATTTCAGCCATGGAAAATAAAGGCGTCAAACACAGTATTAATAGCTGCGGTAAAAGTCGAATGATCGATATGATACTAAAAAGCAACACACTGATGTATCCAACAATGCAAAATCACGACACTAAGAACAATAACAAATAAAATCAGAAAGAGTAGCGACAAGAACAAATCTCAGAAATGAAATAAAGAAAAACCTAAACCAACACTCGAAAAACCATATGCTTAAGAATCTTAAGCGAACATGAAAACAATAAAAGCTATGCTTAAAACTGTAGTCATAACCGAAGTAACGGCTACACCACTTGCTGAACTCTTGGGACTTGGCGCTGGTGGGGTGATGTTGTCGGTGGTCGGAGTTGTTCCCGAAGGAGAAGGCGACGTAGGTGGAGTCTGCTCAGGCGGCGGAGAAGTCGGAGTTTGATCTGGCGAAGGAGAAGGCGGAGATGTAGAAGAAGTCGGGGATGGAGATTTCGGTGGTGACGGAGGTGGAGTCGCCGGAGAGATTGTAGGAGCATGCGACGGAGAAACAACTGGTGAGTGAGAAACAGGGGAAGACGACTTAGGTGGCTGGGGCTTTGACGGAGGAGACGCCGGAGAAATGGATGATTTCGGAGGCTGAGATTGAGACGGAGGTTTCACCGGAGAAACAGGGGAAGGAGATTTAGGCGGTTGAGCCGTCGTCGGAGGTTTCGCCGGAGAAACAGGGGAAGGAGATTTCGGAGGTTGAGCCTTCGTTGGAGGTTTCGCCGGAGCAATAGGAGAAACAGGGGAATGAGATTTTGGTGGTTGAGCCATTGACGGAGGTTTAGCCGGAGAAATAGGAACAGTCGGGTGATTTCTGACGGCGAGGACAACGACGATTAGCTTCTGTCCTTTCTTACAGTGATCTTGATTACCACTTATGAAATAAAAAGGACCAGAACGATCAAGTGTAACCTCAGATTCACCATTGTCAAAGTTCTTGATCGGATTCCTAACGTTGCAGCCATCGAAATCTGCTTTCATCACTTGTTGCACTGAGTCTGATCCCTTTGCATACTTAAAATCTGTAAAAGATTCAAGCTTTTTGTAACAATCAAGCTCCAAAACTTTAAACCCTAACAACAAAAAATAAAGAAACTTACAAAGAGTGTCATTGACTTGGAAACGGTTTCTTTCAGCCCAAGTATTGTAATTCTCTTGAGGGTTTATGGCCCAAACGCCGTTACCTCCGACGTTAAACCTCCATGCATCGGAGACGGTGAAAAAAGTTGCAAAAGAAGCGAGGATTACGAAAGAAAAACAGAGACTTTTCATGATCATCACCATGGTTTTGAGAAGCGGCGAGATCAGAGAGAAAGATTTGAGATTAGGGTTTTGTGTGTTGTGAGGAAATGAGTGAAGCTATGTAATGAATTTATAGGAAGATAGGAGTCTAAGGAGAATCGAAGAAAATCTCGGAATATTACAGAAATGGAAAGCGGAGATTGGTGTGAAGACGCTTCTTTCTTTTATAAAGGTAATTTTTTTGGGAAAAGGTAATAAGGATTTTGAACGTTGTGAAGAAAATCAAAGACATTTATGTTAAGACGTGTGAGAATTGACTCACGTATTATTAATTCACTTCCTATAAAAAAGTTATTTGAATGGTGATTTTTTTTTCAAGATTAAAAGTTTTTGAAAATATTGAGAAAATAGGTTGTCTTTTCCATGTTTAATTTGATTTATTTCGATTTAAAGAGGAAGTAAATTAAATATGGTCCGGTCTTATATGATTCTAGTTCCGGAAAAATATACAGTTGTCAAAAAAAGAGTAAATTTAATTTTTCATAGGGAAATTAGTACCAATAACCAACAAAAAAACTATAATTCAATAACTAACTAATTCTTTAAAATCCAATGACTTAGATTTTGCCACATATGCATTTTTTCTTAGTTATTGAATTATAATTCTTTTGTTGGTTATTCACCAAATTCACCCTTTTTCATAAATATTTAAGTTTTTATTTGGTTTATGTCAATGGTTTTTCCGAATATTAAAATTTTAAAGTAAAGTAATTGGAAGTGGGTTTTTTGGTTTCAAAACCGATTATTTCCGTTTGTAATTTGGTTCATTCCTCTGAGTTATTTTTATGTGGTTTTAATCATCGGAAACCCTTCGTGCAAAACACTAATGCTTGGAATTTGGTATCAAACTAATGTAAATGGCCGTGAATTTGGTACGTGAGATTTTAACAAGGGCTTTGAACAGTTATGATTCGTGAAAGCCCAGGTTAAAGCCCAATAGCCTTTTTCGCCCAAATGCAAGACATGTTAAAATGTCCAAGTTCTGATCTATAAACAGTTGCATACCTATATATAAATTACAAACAAAATTTTGCCCAAAAAATGAGAGAAGTTGATATAGTACCGAAGCCTTCGGTGTTTAGGCTTCTAGTCCTCTCCGGTTAGCCACTGCATTTAGTCCTTTCAAAATTTAGGAAGCATTGTAACGAAGAGTGTTTGTTTAGACTCGG